AATTTTGCTTGATATCAACTTTCGTCATTTTATGTAAATAGTAATAATAAACCTGCGATATCAAACACGTCATGAACCTACAATTACACCTAATCTGGAATTTGAAGGGGAAAAAAAACACAATACAAATATTAACTTATGATCTTGAATGAAATCTCAAAATAACGAAAACAGCACACAATGGTTAGAAAGAATAGCTCTAGTCAATTGTTAGACGAGAAGAAAACACCAAGGGGACAACATTATTATACTTCACCGACAACACCATGGCCAAAACGACAGACTTTAGTAGACAAACAAAAAATACAGAAAACTATCTTCATCATTCTTATACGAACAATTATGATTATATTCAACACCACCCGAACAATTGGCATTAATTCACTCAAAGAAAAAAAAATATTCCAAACGGAAAGTACCCCTACCGTGCTGGTAGCCATTTAAAGAAATTAATTATTATTGCACTTAGTTATACAGCAAATGACTAAAGATTTTGAAATTACTGAAATAGTCAAAACTGTAAACAATATCAAGACAATCAATACACATATCATTACAATTATTTTTAACTTTTTTTATCTTTGTTTCTTTTATTTACAATAGTTGAGTCCTAGCAGATATTTTATTCTATTTTAATCAAACTACACAGGTAAAATAGCTACGGACGTTTCACGGATGTGGTAATAAACGTCCGTAAAACATCCGTAATACGGATGTATTACGGATGATACGGTTACGTCCGTAAAAAGTCTGTAAAAATACATCCGTAAAACGTACGTGTAAAAACTGATGTAAAACGGATTGTCCGTTTCACAGACGTTTCTTAAACATACGTATTACGGACGTTTCTGCAACATCCGTATTACGGCTATATCTTATTCAAAGATGTAAAAGTACCATGCACGATGGCTAATACATGCATAAAGTAAAATTCTTAACTTGCTTTCAACATTCTGCATGCCAGACATACATGTGTATAGTGAATCTCTGCTTCAAGCCTATAACTTTTAATATTTGCATAATATGAGTACATATGAAGTGATTTTTTTCCAAAAAGACCACACGATTTAATTAAAAGTATGAAATATCAAAATAATTAACTGACAATGTCAATGACTGATTTATAATCCTTTTCTCCAGAGCATTTTTTTTTTATATACTTCATTTGCATAGAATTTTTCAATGAAATGCAGAAAATACTTGTACTTTAATGCAATGTTAACTGTACATGAAAACGTTTCAATTGATGCACTACAACACAGAGGCATCATTATAGAGGAAAGGGTTAAATATAGAAATTTAATGAAAAGTGTATAGTAACAGGAACATATATATTGATATACTGTCATGACTGTTCCCACCCAGGTAGTAATTAACAAAATTAAATGGAAAGCTTCTTAACAACAGTCACGATGATTCAACAGTTTTCTCATTCTTTCATATAATAAAAAAGATAGTGAGTTTCTAAACACTGAATTTTTTCATTGCTTCTTGATGTTCATCATGAACATCCATTTATTTAATTTAAGATATGGTTGTACTTTTCCATCAACCATTTTAAAACATATCTTCCAAAAAAAATCTAGAAAAGGAGTCAACTTGTGAGTGAAATTATATAAAATTAAAACAATGTTAATTAAAAAAAATATCTTTTTCCTGTATGTAAGGTCAAATAAAAAAAATTGTGTGTTTCTTATTTCCGCAACTACCCTATATTTTAAGCTTAGAAATAGCCTACCCTAAAGTTTTTTTGATTTATCAATAAGCACTGTTAAAGTCAGAATTTCTCTCCCATCAGCCCATAGACTCCATTCTCAATTTTATCAATGTAAAAGAAAATTGTAAAATAAGAAAAATCCCCTACCTATCCTATTTTTTCAAAGATGTAATAGGAAACACACATATTATTTCATTTGGCCTAATTAAGAAATAAATGTAATTGAAAAAAAATCTTTATATTTTTTAAAAGATTTTATTTTTAAAAGCTTGTCCTCGCAATATTAAGTTGAAATATACAAAGAGTGCTTGGTGTCTTTCCCACAAACAACTAATGCTGGATTGCTAATTAATTGCCATGAATGCAGTTAAAAGAATATAAAAATCTAACATTTAACCTTATTTGTAACGCTTGAGTAAAAATGACTGGATGTATATATATATTGTACATGGCTGAATTAAAATTACCGCATTATGGCGCATACCTGGTTTCTTCAAATGAGACCAATGGAAATAGACCTGACTGTTGTCAATACTTGATTGTTGATCATTCTGATTATCTGTCCAAGTACAAAACTATGCTAACAAGAAATGGCACATGAGCATATAGAAAGTACTTGAAAAGTTTCAGATTGTTTGATGTCTGAAGTAGTTTCTATCCTGTTCAATGACTGAATGAGGATCATAAGATTTAGGGGGAAGGAAACACTCTTATCGTGTTTAAATCACGAAAACCAATGCAATAGTCACATAGTGTTACTTCGTCCCTTATACCCGCCCTTATACAATGCATCTGAGACTACTATAACCTCAGACTATAACATAGTGTTATAATAGTCTCAGAATATATGTAGAATAATGCCGGTAACATTATAACTTTATCATACATTTATTCTCCTTTGGTGTGGAATAAAAGCAAATTACCTGCAGTGCTTCTATTTTATTAAGTTGTGTTTCAAGCAAGCATTTGTGAAAACAGTACTATTTAAAGTATTTTTGGGCAAGATAGAAAATTACAGTACAGGGCCTTTTGGTGTAATGATGAAATTGAAAGAGGATACCAATTAAATTAATTTATAGCCAAAAATCTAATTAAACGAGAAAAGCCAGAGAATAAAAGATAAAACAACAATAACTTACCATTACACATAAACTGACTGATCCAGAAATTTTCATAAAGGGGGTGGGGGCACTGACTGTTAAAAAGCAGGCCTCACTAGTCATGCCAGTGGCGGATCCAGATATTTTCATAAGTGGGGCCCACTGACTGCCTAACTGAGGGTCCCGCTCTGGTCATGCTTCAGTGATTTCCTATATAATCAACCAAATACCCCCTGGCCCCCTCTAAATCCACCTCTGCATGCTTAAGTGATAATCCCTATACAATCAATCAAATTTTTCCCACAAAAAGGGGAGGGGCAGGGTGCACTGAATTCGCCTCTGTGTGCAACATGAACATCCAAAATACATGAATGAACTCAAGTAGTGATAGTAGTGAACAGTTCGGAACTTCCCGGGGCTGCTCAACATGTGGCAACCTACGTCTTAGTATAATTGCAAATTTAGTAAGTAAAATTTTGATTTGATTCGACATTTTGACAAACATGATAACATAAGGGACTGACGACATCATAAGATCGATGTAGGATAAAAAAACTTAAATCAAATAGTTTGGGGGTGGGGTGGGTGGGTAAAAATTGCTGCAAGTTTTGTTTATCCAACATCAATTTTACATATATATCAAATCAATTTTTCCCAAATTAAGTGAAAAAGGGGGGGGGGGGGGTCAGTGAATTATCCTACATTGAACTTTTGATGTCGACTCCTCCCTAAGATCTGGTGAGCTTTTCGTTGAATATAGGAGATAGTGATTAAAGTATTTGCAAGCAAAGTTCATAAGTTGAGAATTATAAAACAAAATATATTGTTTAACCTTGGACCAATAGATCAAGTCCAAAATTTAGCCATTTCAAGGATCGATCAGGGTGATTATGTAGCACTGGCTATTATAATACTTGTGTAGAACCTTGTATAGAGTAAATCAAGGAGGCAGTAGGAAAACTTATAAGATGTTTCCTAATAATCATGATTACAAAAGAACTTGACACGGATTCTTAACTGAAGGTCTGTCCGATTAGTAAAATTTCGAATGCACTTAAATGAATACATAAGTGACCCCCCCCCCCCCTTAAGTCTCCGCCAAGACTGATAGACTCCTTAAGCCAATTCTGTAACCAAGAGCATTCCTATGTTTATATTTTATTTATTATTGAGTTACTGTTTAACCTTTAGTTCTTCTCTGATTAGAGCTAGGATTTGTATAGTAATAATATACAAATCCTTGATAAGAGTAATCCTCGTTTGTCAATTTTCCATAATTCCGCCCCCCCCCCCCCTCGCTGAGCAGGGGCGGATCCAGAAATTTGGAAAGGGGGGGCGAAGTTTTAAAAAAAAATTTGGACCTTTTTGGGGCTAAAAAACATAAAATAAGTGTAAAATGCACTTTTTAAACGGTTCCTGGCGTGGGGCATGTATATTCTATAGTTGCTGCAAAGTGTAAGGGTTGGACATTTTTTATGCTGTATTCTCCCTATTGATTGTCTATCATAAAATGATAGTATGGATCCAAAGCTATGTACTGATATATTTGATGTGGGACTTGTCAGTAAAAAATAGACATGGAAAATTCTCGTTTGTTGTATGTTAAGTTAGCATAACCTCACAGATTTCTTGTTGTAAACAAGAAATACGCCGGGCTATTCGATGAAATTTACAATACAACCGACACGAGTTAAACAAGCAATTTTTATCCAAATGTTTGGTTGATATGTTTCACCCAACAAAATTAAGGGAGGTGAGGGGTTCCAAATCAACCAAAGGCTACGAATGAGTCCGAAATGACAACGAATTTATGAATGACGGTCGACAAATGGAGACATAAAGGCCACACTCAGCAGTCAGGTTGCAGTCTGGTCTTGAAAAAAGTATTCAATATATCAGTTCGGCGAAACAGACATTCCGGTCAGACATGCAAACCCCGGCCTCAAAAAAATACGCCCGTTTTTTATTCATCATGTTCATTTAATGCTAGATAATTCTGTTGGAAATTTTCGTTTCTAATAGCAAAAAAGTGGACAAGATTATTGTTTTCAATCCAGATACGGCCAGAATTTTTATTTAATGCAAAAATCAGAGTCAGATTTTTTTCTCTCAAATACCTTAGACTGCCTCCTCAAATCAAATGGTTCGTACCTTAGAGTTTAAATCTATCTAGAGCTTATACTGATTGGGGATCATTATTCAGCTATCATGTTATTTTTAAATAGGCTGGGGCGTTTGGGGTTAAACATGTTTTCATAGGTAAATAATATTTATTGCTGTCGATTTTTTTTCATGAGAGTGTAATAGAGTATTACTTTCTGTTTTGTTGAATTGTGAAATAGAAGTCACTACGTTCTTGCTCAATCCTGTGTCGCTTTGAAGGTATCATGGTTGTCATCCTCAGCCTAAGCAATGTGTTACTGTAATTTGAATTTCAAAATGACTGAGTGACGTTTTTTTGACGCACTGGTCAACTCCACCATAGCGAATCACATGACTTTGACATAATCAGTAAATACCAGCAAAAAATATCTTTATAAGTAAAGAATTGTCGCATAAAAATTAAATACACGGGAGATGGCAAAGTTCACGACGTCTAGTCTGATTAATCATTTTATAAAAAAAAAAAAAAAAAATCCAAGCAAAGGGGGGGGGGGGGCGTACGCCCTCTACACCCCCCTCTGGATCCGCCACTGTCAGCAAACAGTCTTGTATTTAATTCTGAATAGAACAAAATGTAAAATAAGTGAATAAGTTATAGATTAAATAATAAATAAATAATTAAATATTCTTTATTTAGTTTTTTCTTTATTCTCACTTCTTCCAGAGACATGTACGAATGTACATGTATGTCTCTGATTCTTCATGGTCTTATATTAAGGATTTGTAGAGTATACAAATCCTTGATTATAACAAAGGCATATAATACTCAGTGTACCACTTCTGAACTTTTTTGTAATTATTTTCTCTACTTAAATCCCCATTCTTGATTCCAGACCGGGTTCCGGACTAACTCTCATATACGTAAATGATCGTAAATGTACGAAAGCTTGACACGTCGAATACGAAAACCCGGAAATATTTTCTCCGTTGCCGTTTTTTATACTATGACGCAAAATCCATGGACGCTCGTCTGCTGTTGAATTCATGTTTTACAGTTTAACAAGGATTTGTATAGTGTCACTGTACAAATCCTTGAGTTTAAAGAATGGAAAGATATATTATAGTCAGATAGATAATACAAAGAACTCTAGTTTTTCAAAACCGATGGGTCAAAAAGTTATTAGTATGAACAGATAAATTGAAATGGGTTGCTTGTCGATTAACTGGAAGAAACCGGGGAACGAAAGAAATTTGTGTTTCTCTTAACGGATTACGTACCCAATATTTTGTACTTGGAAAGCGCAACGAAAGGTAAATATTATCATGTACATATTTAAGAAGATGCTAGTGCTATACTTTTCATGAAAAAAAATTTGACTTTATAAATGTCATCGCATGCAAACCCGAAAATCAGTCAAAGATTGTCAAGAACGGACGCAAGTCAACTCGACCCACTGGCAAAACGCCCTACTTTTTAAACAACACGCCTCCCTTTATAAAAATATCCCACTCTTGTTAAGGGAGCTACCATGTGAGTTTTATTGGGGGGTACTGGTAGGGGTGTGTTATTTGAAAAATATGCGGAACTGGAGTTCTGTCAACTTATAAGTTAAAAAAAGCTAGGATTTATGTAAAGAATTACCAGGAACGAATATAGTGAAAAATTAACTGGCAGGACAGAGATTTCAATTAAAAAAAATGCAGGATAACATTCTTATCCTAGCCCCCACCCCATAAAAATCAAGTGGTGGCTTCCTTACCAACTCGCCCCGCTTTTAAAAAAAATTGCCCCACTTATGAAAAGGGTTAAATCCGTAAAATATACTCCTGTCAACAATGGCAACTCGCCTAACTTGGGTAAAATCCAAATGAATATAGAATATAAAAAAAATAAAGGTCTGCCAACTCGCCCGTATTTACTTATCTACCCAGAAATTAGAAGACACTGATACAAAAAAATCGAAATTTAATATATGATATCTATTGATTTAAAATGATGTTTCACTTCTTAAAATATGATTGTAGATTCATTATTTATTATTAAATTATTATGTAATTTATGTATTTATTTATTGTATCATAATCTATTTGATTCTTTTTTTAGCTGACTCAAAATCATGCATGATGATGCTGTTTGGGCCCCCTGGTTGTACATAGGAAGTGGACTCCTCGAGAAGATGAAAGGTCTGCTTTACATGTATGTAATGTAAATATAAAAATAAGAAAATGCGGTGATTGCCAATGAAAAAAAATAGAGGAATTTTTAAAAGTGTAAATTCACTTGTTTTTCAATCCTAATAAATCTGTCATATTGTAATGATAATAATGTTTAAATTACGTAATTATTTTCAAAATAAAATATTGTTTACACCAATGAGAAAAGACAACTCTCCACCAGAAATCAAATGACATTGAAGTTAACAACAATAGGTCACTGTACATCCTTCAACAATGAGCAAAGCCAATACCGCATAGTCAGGTTTTAAAGACCCTATATGAGAATCACATATTTGTAAATCAATTCAAACCAGAAAACTAACAGACTAATTTATACAATGTAATATATAAAAAACAGAACCAAAAAAACAAAATATTATAAACAGCAACAAACGACAAACTGAACCACTGAATAACACTAACAGGCTTCTGACATGAGACAGACGCATTCAAAAGGTTGTGGTGGGGCTAGACTAGTAGTTTGTGGTACTAAACCAACCACCTTAGCTGGGATATTGGTGTGAAAAGGGCTTTTAAAGCAGATTTATACATCCCCAAAACTAAAAAGACTAAGTATAGATCTGAGAGTACTCCCAATTGCTAACAGCTAGTTCAAAGCCAATAACAACTTTCAAGGTACATGTATTTACCACCAAACCTTGTCAGTGTTCCCGCCTGCCCTAAATAGAAGGGCGGCCCGCCCTTGATGCCCTTACCCCCGCCCTTCTGCCCTCCAAAGTAAAAGAATGCACCCCTCTGCCTTTTCAAAAAAATAAAATTTCCAAATTTCATGCCTACCGGCGTTTCCGGTAAATTGTTACCTGATTGTGTAACACTAATTAACTGACAATGGGATTAAGTTAAATACCTAATGCTTTGGCAGTTTTATCACCTTTGTTAATGATTGTTTACTGCTAATTAGTGGATTTAAGATAATTGAACAAATACTAGATATTTAATACAGAATGAAATGTCCACATGTTATCCATTTGTAATGTTTATGTACAGCATGTACACCTGAAAAAATTTATTTCAGTAGGCATAACATAAAAAATAAAATCTTAAACAATTTTAAAGGCATGTATACATAGTTTTGACTTAATTGGTAAAAAATGTTTTGTTTCATAACCATGAGTATGAAATTTAAAGAAGAACCAAAGAAATTTGTACTTTGAACATAACAAGATTCACTTCCTGTTTTACTTCTTGTATTTTATAATCCTCCTGACATAGGAGCACTCAACAAATTTATTTTTAACAATGATGGAGAAAAAAGTAACTGTTTATACCTTCTGCAATATATTATTGCATCAATATAATATGATCATCTCCTGTCTCACCTGTTATATTTATAAAACTCCTTACCGAGGAGCACTTTGGTGTGCACTTAAAAATACTTTTTTGTAACAATTCAAATGATAATAAATAACTCTCAATAACATATATACTATATGTTTGAACAAGTAATTTAAATGTAGATAATTTAATTACATTAAACATTCAATTTTGCATGTATAACTCCATCTTTCAAAACTACTTGTTTATTTTTATAGACTGGTATAAGTAATAAAACATTGAAATTTCTGATGATTATTTTCCTTATCAAATGTACAAGTTTGTTTAGATTAACATCAAAATGATATGCTTTGCTTCATGGTATGATAATTTGATAAAAGAAAATTCTTATGGGAACCAACATCAAGAACACATTAATTTCTGAATATGGTTTAAATACAACTAATGTTCGACAGCTGAGCCTAGCAATATTCAAGGTAATTTATACACTGTCCAACATTGCCCTTAAAATCAGGGTTATAACGCTAAAGTGCCCTTTCAGACAACTAGCACCCTTCTGCCCTGAGATTCAAGCTGGAACACTGCTTGTCTCGTTTAGTCCATTTCTCAGATATTACCTTATATCAAATACTAGTTCAACTTTTGGTATAATTTAAACATTTTTGAATGACTTCAAATTTCAAAAAGTATCATGATTATTAAAATAACTTGATGATAAGTTGATGCCCAAAGATTGGCATTATAAATCATGACAGATTCAGAGATCCAATTATACATGTATATAACCGCTTTTGTTCATCCCTTCATTCAAGGGTCATATGGATTTTATATGATGGATTAGATCATTAGAACATTAAAATGATTAAATACTTTGATTTTTTATAGTCATTTTTATACGCCTGTCAAATTTTTTACGGGACATATTATGGTATACAAATGTCCGGCTTCCGGCCGTCTGTCTGTCTGTCTGTCTCTCTGGCGTCCACATGTCGCACTGTAACTTGAGAACCACTTATCCAAATTTAATGAAACTTAACATAGTCGTTTCTTATGATGGTCAAACTATCTGCATACTTTTTGGTGAAAATAAGATTTAAACTTTCGTAGTTACAAGACTTTATAGCTAAAACAGGGGTGTGTTTTTTTCACATGTCGCGCCGTATCTCAAAAAACATGTATTATTGTTGCTTAAAACTTTACACACTACTTATCTATATTAATCTTAAGATCTGTTTACTTTTTGGTGATGATTCAAAATTTTATTTTAGTTATTGAGTTTTTTGTAAAAAAGGGGGGTTTTCACATGTCGCGCCGTATCTCAGAAACTATTTATGATTATTGCATAAAACTTCACACACAAGACGACGGGTGTATCATGCGCTCGTGGCACAGCTGTTTATTAGCTTTTCTCATCACAAGGCGTCTGTCGTCGTTGTCCGTCGCTGTTAACTTTTACAAAAATCTTCTCTTCTGAAACTAGGGAGTCAAATTGAACCAAACTTGGCCACAAACATCAGTAGGATATTTAGTTAGAAATATGTGTCAGATGACCTCTCCTGCTAACTAACATGCCAACATGGCTAAAAATAGAACATAGGGGTAAAATGCAGTTTTTGGCTTATACATGTGTAGGACTCGGAGGTGCGATGGGGACGCTGCAGTGCGATGGTCCACGCCGAAGTGCGATGGTCCACGCCGAAGTGCGATGGTCCACGCCGAAGTGCGATGGTCCACGCCGAAGTGCGATGGTCCTTTCGATGAAGTGGGATGATTTTGCATGACGTTTGATATTGTGACGTTTTCAAATACAACGTTATGAAACAAATGGATTCACAGGCAGGAGAATAAGATTTGTAGATGAAGGTTTCGTACGTACTAAGGAAAGGAAACAGAATGAAACTAACGATTTAAGTCCCAAACAGTTTTGAGCATGTCTTGGTCTTATATAAAATTTGACTTCTCCTCAAGTTAACATCACATTATTTTGTGTGGCCAACTTTTAAAATAATAAATTAATTATTAGCAATGTTTTCGTTATATCAAGTAGCGATAATTTTGTTTTATTCTCGAAATGAATCCGGCATGCTTTGTAAGAAAACGGGCAATCTTGGTTATTTTATTTTGTTTAAAGTATTAATATTCTGCTATGGGTTAGGCCAAAAGAAACCCAAATGGTGCCAACTTGTTGTAATTCTCAGTTTCTGCTGCTTAGCGAAAAATCAGCTAATTCTCAAGCTAATGACAGAACAAGCGTCATGTCTCACTATATGTCAAGCATAAATGTAATCGGTAGTTTTTATTTCTTAAAAACTGTTATGATTTATTAAATAAATAGATGCATGAGTGTTGTGAGAAATTTCGTAGCTACTGACATGACAAGAACAAGTTACTAGTATATTTGATAAAATTAAATGTATCCTGCTTAGTTAGTACTACAAAGAGCGCTGTGCTATACCCGTTTTATTTTTTATCGCACTTGAATGCTCATTATAAAAACAATGTCCCCCAACTCGAATCCATTATACTTAATCTGAGCCATCCAGTCTATTTTCTGCCTCATACTGTTGTATACTAAGCAAAACATTAGCAAATTAAAAATTAAAGTCTTTATTTTGACCTGACCAGAAAACCTGGTCTTCCAAATGCGAGGCTAGCACATTAACCACTACACCCCCACATTTAAAAATGGGATTTCAACTTCAGACCATTGCATTTAGCTAGTATACACAACATCACAGTTAGACCATCGCACTTTAGCGTACCCACCAAACGCACTTCAGCATATCTAACAACAAGTTAGTGTCACAATGGACCATTACACTTCAGCGTGTTAACCAACGCACATCAGCATGGACCATCGCACTTCGGCGTGACCATCGCAGTTCGGAGTACCATCGCAGTTCCGAGTCCTACACATGTATCTCTGAGACTAAAGCATTCAGAGCAAATCTGACGTGGGGTTAAAACGTTCACCAGGTTAAGTTCTATCTGCTATGAAATTTTTAGACAAATCAGACAACCTGTTGTTGGGTTGCTGCCCCTGAATTGGTAATTTTAGGGAAATTTTGCAGTTTTTGGTAATTATCTTGAATATTATTAGAGATAGAGATAAACTGTAAACAGAAATAATGTTCAGCAAAGTAAGATCTACAAATAAGTCGACAGGACCAAAATTGTCAATTGACCTTTTAAGGAGTTATTGCCCTTTATAGTCAATTTTATTAACCATTTTTCGTAAATTTTTGTAATCTTTTACTAAAATCTTCTCTAAAACTGCTCGGCCAAATTTAACCATACTTGGCCACAATCATTATTGGGGTATCTAATACTATTTATTATGATTTAAACGTTATTTTACATGATTTCCAAAACCACAGTGGATACTGGTGAGTGACTGAGGCTCTTGGAAGCCTCTATTTTTTCAGGGAAAGTTTGTTGGTCTAGTTTTAAAAGATCAAACTAAGCCAATTTTGCCGGATCAAATATTAAGGGCAATTTTGGCAGATATTATAACTTCATTTCATTAACCATTATTTCTTTTAGCATTTTCAATGAAAGTACAAGTACTTTGAGAAATAGGAGAAGCTAAGCAACAGAACAGAATTCATTTGGGTCATTGATGTCTAGATTATATAGTGGATTCATAGATTGTCATATTGATTTATGTGCATATGAGCACAGAGGAGCAGTAGTCAATGAATAATTTTGTGATGAGAGGTATGTTATTAAAATGATGACTTTATTTGAATATTTTTTTCTTGTCAGACTCGGTACATCATGTACATGTAGTTTCCAAGATTTTTTTAAAGTTTGAGGTCATAGAGTTCAAAGTTTTGATTCTTGTTGTGGGCAAGTCGAAAATTATCCATGTTAGAAGTGACAAATTATTTTTTTTACAAAACCGTAAACAATTTGTTGATATTCGTGATGAGGTCAGTTTAAGGAAACCAAGAAATAACTTATGGTAAAGTCATTAATATTGTGCAGTTGTAGTAATAATACTCCATAGTACTTAACTTAAATGTTGACAAGTTTCTGATTCCTTGATACAGGTCTGAATTTGGATTGTAAATAAATATTTGACACATTATAGTTTTCTGAATAAATGTAGTCAAAGAACTTGACATTGGTTACACAGCTACTTTTGCATAGCTACTATTTCTGTACCAAAATTATGTAGTACTGGAAATCTACTTTTAATATTTAGTACCATTTTGTTACTTTAAAATTATCATGATATTAAGTTCCTGTATTTTACAGTACTTGATTTGTACATGAAATTTAAGTACTACAGTTTTTTATTCATGTTATTACACCGTTACATTTTCAGCATTTTGATAGTTTGTCTATTTCAAATCTCTTAAAGTTATGATTTTCAAACATGGAATATTATGATCACTGTGGGTATTATTTCTGTACCAAAATTTTTAGTACAAAACAAGTACTGTAAAATACTGGTACCGTACCTAAATATTACAATAATTTTTAAGTAAAGAAGTAGTACTAAATATTAAAAGTAAATGTCCGGTACTAAAGATTTTTAGTACAGAAATAGAGTAAAAAGGATAAGAATGTACGAAAAATACTCTGGTTACCAACCAATCAAAATCCGGCATTACTATGTAAGGTTGAATTTATAAGGAAAATTGCATTGCAAGCAATCCCAAACAGGCCTACATTTCTTGTATATGAATTATGAAAAAGTTTAAAAGAACAAACAATTTTTTTATACAACCACAATATGGGGTCGTATACTGCTACACAGTATACTGCTATCACATTGTTGTCCTTTAAAGACATTTGGTTTCTGGACAAAAAACTTTAGTTTAAGTGTATATGGTACTCTTTAATCTAAAGATTCAATACCCAGTGGTGGATCCAGAAATTTCCCCCCTATAATGTGTCAAATATTTGATTACAATCCAAAGTCAGACTTATATCAAACTTGAATATTGTGTTCATTTTTACCCCAACTGTTCAGGGTTCGTTTCCAGCTTTGCTTGGGAAACCGTTTATTGAAGTTTATTTTGCTTTTTGACAGAAAATTTATCCATTGCCAAGGTACACTGAAAGGTTTTTCTTTTATTAAAATATGCACATATATTTATATTAATTTTTTATAAGCTTAACTGTTGATCTTCTTTCTGTTGTTTGCTTACATTTTGTTTCAATTCACTCAAAAGTAAAAGTATATAGTAAAGGTATAAATTAGTGAGCATCAATTCATACTACATGTAGTTTTTGTCTGGACTTCTTGATTAAATTATTTATATATACAATTTTAGCTTGTTACCAAATGAAAGGAAAGTACAGTATTGACAATGATTGATATAACTGGTGAACATGTATGTCATGTAGGTGTGAATGTCCTGCAAAAAAGAACTGATATCAAAGTAAGTTCATCTGTAGAATTGCAGTTAATTTAAATAATTTGATGTTATCTACCTAAAACTGTTTCAAGTATAACTGTACCTGTACACTGTTGCTTATTTTTCTCACTTTCCCATGTAATGTATGCATCAAGGCATCATTACTTTGGCCCTTCTACTGCTCCATTACACACACACTTGAGATGTCAGAAGTTCAAACTATCATAGCATTTACATTTCAAACTTACACAGCTACAATAGTACAAGTAATCTTGATGTACAGTTCTAAAGATGCATATCGAATGTGCATCTGTAAAGCTGTATATAAACTGTACAGCTGTAAAGCTGTATATCAACTCTACAGTTTACAAACAGTTTTACAGATGTACAGTTTATATACAGCTTAACAGCTGTACAGTTGATATACAGCTTTACAGATGTACAGTTTATATACAGCTTTACAGCTGTACAGTTGATATACAGCTTTACAGATGTACAGTTTATATACAGCTTTATAGCTGTACAGTTAATATACAGCTTTACAGATGTACATTCGATATGCATCTTGAGAACTGTACATCAAGATTACTTGTACTAAAGTAGCTGTGATATAGACATCAATCTTATTCTACGAGAAGAGAAAAAGGGGGGGGCGGGAGGAATCAGAATCAAAGGCATGTATAATAGATGTGCCATTTGACTTTGGTACACTCAAAATGATTGCTACTACCTTGACAATGTCCAGTACGGGGTGACATCCTCCGCTATTGCTTGCAATAGCAAATTGAGTGTTAGAATAACCTTAATCGCCATTCATTTTTTCTGGTGTAAGAAGAGGAAATAGAGTATATTTCTCAATCTTACGTGAAAAATTGTGGGTTAGATATTTGACACTGAACAGCACAAAACGTATAGACAAGGAATAAACCAATGCAAAATGTGTCATTTTAGGCTATACAAAGTATTGATCAATCAATCAAATCATGATTAAAGTGATCAAATCATGATAAGAGATCAATCAATCAAGTTTTGATATCAAACAAGTAATTAATCAAGTGCAGAATTCGAAAAAAAAACGTCCCCTCACCTTTTACAAACTGTCAATCAGTCGATCAATCAATCAATCAAACGATCGATCAATCAATCGATTGATTGATCAATCATGATCACAAACCATCAATCAACCAATCCACATATCTTTTCTGATCAATTTATGAAAGAAAATACCTTTAATTCGCTTTTGAACAATCGACTTTTGCGTATTATTATGTCACCCCTTTGATAAAAGGGGGGACATATTGTTATTCTACGAATTATTCTTCCACACTTTTTGTCCAGCTTAGTTCTCGGAGATGACTTGACATACATTGATAAAACTGCTCCATAATGACAATCCCCATGTGCAGATGTGCACTTTGGGTTTGGAATTTTCAAGATGGCTGCCGTTACCATGGAAATGGCAAAAATGTGAAAAACCGAAAAATGGTCCAAATTAAATGAAACTTTATAGCTGTACAGTTAATATACAGCTTTACAGATGTACATTCGATATGCATCTTGAGAACTGTACATCAAGATTACTTGTACTAAAGTAGCTGTGTACCTAGTCAGACTGGCCTATATTATGTATTGATAAGTTGTTATCATTTAGAATACATAAAATATTTGCCACTGGACATTAAAATAAGCAAAAAAAATCCACCAATTAATGATTTTGCATTATCAGAATGAATTTGCAAACATATAGCAATCAGATTATGTACATGGATAAACCTTGGAGCTTTTTCAATGAACCAGGTTTAACCAGCATATAAATATAAAAAGATGAGGTATGATCCTCAATGTGTCATTTAAAAGAACAAAGGACATTATTATTTATATAATATAATGCTATTTCACACTTTCAATTTTGTTTTTTGATCAGAATGTTTTTTTTGTCAAAACATAGCCATAAGTATTTCTATTCTTGGCAGCATTGTCAACGATTTGTATAAAGCTTTATATTTTAGAAGGTAGAAGACCTGGCCTTGAAGTCATAAAACTTTTGAGTCAGATTTTTGTACTCATACTCCAAAATCAACCAATCAAAATGTTTGATTTCATGTTTCGAGCATAATTTTTGTGCTCCAAGCACTGAGCAAAGTTTTATGACTTCAACCCCTGGACTTCATATCTTGTTTGCAGAGGCTTATGTTACAAAGATTCTGTCTGTCATATGTCCATTGTCCTCGACCTCATTTTCATGGTTCAATAACTGCTTGAAAAAAATATATAGTTCTTTTGTCATGTGAATTTCTCACTTATGACATGTATGAGTTATAGGATATTATAACTATATTTGGTATATGGGTTCCTTGCAACATCTACATGTCTGTTAGAAGGGTTCACCTGACTTCTTCTTCACTTTTTTGATCAGTGACAAGGTCCATTTCTCAAATCCTATAAGCAGTAGGTCAACTGTACATGTATTTCAGTCTGGCAAGTCAGTCTGGCAGGTTTCATCTGATCTTGGGTATGACCTCATTTCATTTATCAATGTTAAGTTTTTGTATTTTTGCTGATTTTCAAGTACTACAAGCTTAAATATTAATAATAGGTCAACTATATTTGGTGTATAAAAAAATCGTTTGGTGTAGATGTCTGTCTGATAGGATTTATCCGACCTTCACCTCATGGTCAAAGATCTGTAAAGTGTTAAGATTTTGTGATACTTTTAGTAATTTTACCTTTATCTTAAAGAATTTCAACATAAAATAAATGGTCAGCATGTGCACTCTAAGTCTTGTTGCCTATGAGTTGTACGCTTAACATGCTTTGACAATTTTGTAAATACTGGTTCAACCTACAGCTTGTATTTAATAGAGGCTCTTCCAAGTTACGGGTATGGTAGTTTGATCAAAATTCCTTCATTGTTTGATTAATCTATTGATACTGTTTCTGCACATTGATATATGAGTACACACACAACTTTGTTATAAGATTTCATAAAAGGAAAGTAAAAGGAAAGGCTTACATTAGTTTGACAGCAACCTTACAACAAAAAGTACAATAAACATGGACATGACAGCAGTTTTTATACAACCGCCAAAAATCACATCATCGTCCGAAATTAAAAAAAAAATTTCTTCAAATATTATTTGGGGGAGGGGTGTCAATTCGCAACAGCATAGTGTACTGCACAAAAGCAAAAAAATGAATATAAATTCAAATCATATAACCAATTCTAGTTCTTTGACTACATTTATTCTGTGTCAGAAACCTATTATTTGTCAAATACTTAATAACAATCCAAATTCAGACCTGTATCAAGTGCGAAAATTGTGTCCTTTTTTGCCCCATCTGTTCAGGGTTGGACCTCTGCTGTCCTATCCAGCTACACTCGGCAAAGCAATTTAATTTAACATGCTAAAACTCACAATATGTCATAGGCATATACTTTGTAGGCGGTTTGGGACCTCTTAAGTGTATTACACTATTAATTATTATAACATTACTTCATGGAAGTTAAATTTATATTATTTATGAATATTTTATTTCAGATACCATTCACAGTGAACATGGTGAAGAATAACCAATACCATGAATACAGGACATAGAAGACTACCTCACAAATATGGGAATTTTACAAAAAATACAACATTTAAATTTACAAAGAAGACATTTATTTTGACATTCATGGACTTTGAAAGTAAAGAAATTAGAATGTGAATAAAAATCCTTGGAAATAAAATTTTGAACTTTGAAGAAGATTGAAGATTATGTTTGTTCTAAGAAAGTTTTAAGAAAACAGATACATTCAAAACTGTAAAAAGGAAACAATACAATATTCACAATTACTCTTGAGATCAATTACTCTTGATATATAATTAAAAGATCATATAAAAGTAAGGAAATTTGGTTGAATTGCCAATGAGAAAAATAACCACCAGAGTTCAAATGATGTGATAGTGAGCAATTATAGGTCCTCCAACAATGAAAAAAAACCAACTATATAGTGTGCTATGAAAAGGTTTGGATATGACAAATAGAGAAAACTAAGAGCCTTATTTTAACAAGTTAATATATGAAAGCAAAATATGAACCAAAGACAAGCACTGAAATACTTATGATTATTGTTGATTTACTCTTGAATATTCATGTAGAATGTTTAAAAAGATTTTAAATCAAAGTTATCATCAATATTCAACTTGTTAAACAACAAGTCACTGTATGACAGAAAGTTCTATGCCAAAAACCTTGTATGTATTGCATCAGAAACAAATTTTAGATAGAACACTAGGAGACTATATTAGGGAATGCAGATAAAAAGTATCATCACCTTAAAATAAAGTATAGCATTTTGTCATTGACAGTTCCATCAAAAGTTTCAGCAATATAACTGTTACATAAAAATCAAACCATACAGGTATTTTTTTTCAAAATATCTCTATATAATAATATGCATAATATTAATAGACGTTATACGTCCGTGGTACAAAAAATCCGTATTACGGACGTGGTACTAAACATCCGTATTACGGACGTAGCATTATAAATCCGTATTACGGACGTTTAACGGATGTTTTACGGTTTGATACGGACGTATTATGGATGGGAAGCAACGGACGTTTTACGTCCGTGGTACTATTCGTCCGTAGGTTTTCCGTATAATACGGACGTATTACGGATTTTTTACGGACGTAATACGTCCGTAGCTATTTTACCTGTGTACGACTGTTTATCCTGGCTTCAATTCTCCTATTTTGGAGCACCAGTGTAGTAGCTGAAAGGAATGGAAGATGAAAAAACTCAAGGAGCCTGTAATTTGCGTCCTTCATTTACGAACATGTTGAAAAATAACATTTACTTGTTTAAATATGACACACACAAAGACCAGTAACAGTGCCAGTATAATAATGATGTCGAAATGATCTAGGTAATTTTACTATGTGAGGAAAGTAAAAACAAAAGGAATTTAAACTATATCACCGTGGTATACACAACAAACTGTCTCCAAGGTATTTAAAAGGATCAATATAATTATGTGTGTGAATTAAGATAACATTCACACATGAAATAACCATGTGTAACCATACAGGTAAAACATGTCTTCAATCTAGTCAATACAGGTAAATAGAGATTAAGTCAGGTGTCATTAGCCATGTTTGATTGTTTATTTTTATAAATTCTGATGATATGAGGTTTACAATTTATAATCAGCAGTTGACCTAAAAACCAGCACAACATAATATTATCAAATTGATATGAAAATGTAGTTATAGTGAGAATTGCGAAATTTACAAAGATCTGTTTATGATATAGTTCTAAATACTTTATTTCTAAATTTCCATGTTTTTTTTTATCTTTGAAATAGTAGATGTTAGAGATGATATACCAGACGTTTTAATGTCCAATGATCATCAATTCATTTTGTACAGTAAATCGATTTATTATATTATTATGTTTTAAAGTGAATGAAGAAACTTGTAATTATTGAAACAGTTTATGTTTCCGGATTACACTTTAAGGTTAACTGAACAAGCCAATGGTTATTGTTGATGATTACTGGAATAACACAAAATGGCACAGGCTGCTGCGTCGACTTGTGAAATCTGCGTCGGTGGACCGAGTGAACATTATTGTCAGCAGTGTGATCAGTTATTTTGCGAAAATTGTAAGTTATCTCATTTGCGTACAAAGATGAGTAAAAACCACACGTTTTTAAGTGGACCAAACATCAACAAGGAAGACAAACTACTTTGTACAGAACACGAAGAAATGTTCTTATTCTACTGCCATGATTGTGATACTCCTGTGTGTAGAATTTGCTCCGTAAAGAATCACAGCCGTCATCTTATGACTGACCTTACTGAATCAACGTTGAAACTTAAATATGAACTGGTTAAGAACATTGAATCAAAAGTAGCGACCTCCAAATTAAACCTTAGAAAAATTGAGACTGATACACAAGCCTACCGTGATGAAGTCAAAGCTGTCATCAAAACCATAACTGAAGAAGGGAATAACTGGAAAAAACTGATTGATAAAAAAGTAGATAACTTTGTTAAGCTAGTGCAGGATGGGGAACAGAAAGCATTACACAATATGTCCGCACTTACCAAAGTTTGTCGTGGAGTTTTTGAAAACTGTCAACAATGGCAAAAGAGCATCAAGGAAATGGAAATACTAGCAGATGTACTATTGTTACGAAAGCTGAAACATCTAAAACTTGATGTTGACAATATAGATTTAAAACAAGTTCCAGAAAGGTCTTCTGTGTCATACAGAAACAAGAGTATTCAGGCACAGAAATAGGCAGCCTATTCGGAGAGTTGCAATATCGGTAAGTTATCGATTCATAAAACAGGGATAATTATGGTGTTAAACATTGTACTGGTATGATAAATATTTGTTTGCAATTCATGATTTCCCTCCAGTTTGAAAGTGTCTTGTATCAAGAAAAAGAGAGGCAAAAGATACAAAATGGACATTCAAACTCATAAGACAAAAATAAACTGACAACACCATGGCAAACAACTTAAAAAGACCAAAAGATAAACAATAGTGCACAAAATAAGGATACAGTAATACACCAACATTAATCCGTTGAAAATTAACTTATATCTTCAAAGGCAAACAATTCAAAGCACTGTTTCCATTGGCTGTTAGTAAAACAGTGGTATAGTTTTATGATTGATACTGAAGACATCAGGAAAGGGGGATTGCGCGGGATTGTTTAAAACAGAAATTGAGTACACTTAATTTGATGAAACAGAGGTTTTTAATTGTCTTACATCGGTTGAACAGTAGCTTACTTAAAATTTACATTACTTATATGAGACGTAACGGTATAGAGGGGTAGTCACATAAACAAACAAATTTGAAAACACACAGTTTGATAGAGTGACACAAAATAAATTTAACATCTGGGATTGCAGCTTTAAATTCAATACACAGTCAAACTTGTAATTGGACATCAGTAAAATACCGCCGCCTTCATTTAATTGTAGCACTTTTAAACAGCAATTTGTATTGAAAGGTCGTCTTTTTGTGGTTCCACTTTAATAATACATATCAATTTTAAGCCTCCATTTCAAAGTGTACCATCTTATAAGGTAAATTTAAATTATTTTGTTCCGATCATGACGTTTATTTACGTGTCTGTCTTTATTGGTCATTACTTTTTTTCATGGAAAAATATGTAACATTGTTTTTTTAAATAAATGTTGAGTCTTTTCAAAGCGAAAGTTTAAAGAAATCAACATCGCTACGCACAGCTGAAAATCGATGGAGTAAGATTATCGGTGTATGGTTCTTTGTACCTATATATGTCTTCGACATATTTGGGTATGAGAGTTCCTTTTTTTAAGTATATCATGAATATCAAGAATATGCAAATGAAGCATCCACTGTTAAACATACTATTACAATTGTTCTAGAACTAAAGTCGGACTTCTAGTAACCGAATGATTTATCATTTGTGTAGTCAATGCTTCATGCACCACATAAATACGCTACCTGTCATTTATGTTTAATTATTTAATTAAGAAATAGTGTCCGAAATGGAGTTGTACATTCTTGTTATGTTTTGTGGGTATAAAAAAATGGCAAAATCAAAACCTCAAACACATCAAATGAATGGAAAACAACTGTCATATTGCTGGATTGGTACAGGCATTTCGTTATGTAGAAAAGTGTGGTAAAAGCCTGTTTTTATATCTAGAAAAACATCTCACTTGTAAGACAGTCGCATAACATTCCATATACAGAAAGCAATGGGTGAACAAAACAAACATATAAGAACTCACATACTTAAAAAGTAAAATATCAAAAATACCGAACTCTCAGGAAAATTAAAATGGGAAAGTCGTTTATCAAATGGAAAAATCAAAAGCTCAGACACATCAAACGAATGGAAAACAACTGTAATATTCCTGACTTGGTACGGGCATTTTCCTATGTAGAAAATGATGGACTAAACCTGGTTGTATAGCTAGCAAAAATCTCACTTGTGTGACAGTCGTAAAACATGCCATTATATTGAAAACGATGTGTGAACAAAACCAACAGACATAATAGGTAAAAATGTAAAAAAAAAAATAGGGGCACAGCAGTCAGCATTGTAACATAATCATAATCACTATAACATAAACAAATATGTCAACAAAGAAATACAAATGACATAAAGACAAAGCACATACGCAAAAATGAAAGACAAGAATACAAAAAATGACCATAGCACAATAACACATTGGCAGGAGTAATCAGTATCGAGCCACGCCAAAAGAAAATTACCAAAAATGGACTAAACAGTAAAGGTTACAAATTTGCACAGACAAATAAAGAACACTATAGTACGTAATTAAAATGATCAACAACGTCAGTACATATAATCTATTTTGAAGTGGTATTTTTGTTTTTTAAAGAGTCAGTAAAGCGCCCATGGAAAACATTGAAGACATAGTGTATACTACCTTATAGCAAAGTTTACTTTAGCTGATTTTGGATATTCTTTTAAGGTTTCTTTTTTTGTCATGTAGTTTCTAACGTTTACACTTTTTTTTATAAATTCCCTGGATTTCTAATGGTTATGTGTGAGCTCTTTTGATATTAATGTCACTTATCTTGCTGTAGTTGTCCAGGAGGTAGTTTCTATTATATATAATATTAATGTTTTTCTCTGAGCGAATGAGTAATTTTGTATTTTAAAAACAGGATTTCATTTGTTTACAATACACAGACAATTCTAGTAAAGAAAGCAAAATGTTCGGGAAAAACTAGTCGATGACTCTTAACGTTTCGTTAACAACCAATTTTAAGTATATTTGATGACATTTTCGGAACAAGCTTTCTCTTTCAATTTTATTGATTTACATACGTTTGATGTTAATGATAGAAAAGGATATTTTCCTGCGTAGACTAATACTGTGTTATGTTTTATCATGTCCCTTCTTAATCTTTCAATTCTTTTAAAGTAGAAAATATTGAAAATTGAGAATACGTTAAAAAGTAAAAATAAAAAGCAAAAATCACACTATCGTCCGAAAAATAAGGTATCTGGGTATCAATATGTAAACACAAAATAATCATTTGCCCCTTTGTTGAAATGGTAGTGGTACTTGAACGACATGAGATAACACTCTTTGTAACCTCATTGATTTAGTGGTGTGTTTCCAAGAAGTTATTTTGTAAATTAAGTCGGAGGATTGACTTCAGAATGTAGAGACATCTTGATCTGACATTTTTTTTTTTAATTGCATTGAACCGTTAGTCCAGTAGTATCTGTTTAAGAACACAACGTACAAACACGCGTCTCTTCTTCTATAGTTTAAGATGCGTGACTTCTCAAAAACACTTAATAAGAAAAGAAAACGTCATTTTATTTTGCAGTAAGGAACCTGAAACACGGAAGTACGGGTATGTATTAAAGTCATAATTCTGTTCATTGCTTAAACATTGTGAAGATTGTTTTTTTTTACAAACAGAACTGAATAGCTGAAGTACTAAATTATTTTTCGCGGAATACTTCAGTCTATGAGAAATACAGTTTTTTATATAAAAACACTGGCATATAGATGAAACTTCAGTGACCCAATAGCTAATATTGCTCACTTCAGAGTATCTTTAGTTAAATGAAAGCGTTTCCCCTTCTATCAGTTATGTGAAAGAGAATGATAGATAAGGGTAGACTATGAATGAGTTAAGTATCCTTAAGAAATAGACATATTTTCTGATTCCTCGTCTGTTTATAAAACCGAAGTATCCTTAATGACTGGAGCCTTTCGGTCTTGCTAATATAGCGTTGACATGTAAGATTTCAGCTACATCTGCATAATCATGATGCGCCAAAACTAATCATGTCCATGACAAAACATGGTTTGATGTTTGTTAACAAATAATAAATGAGAAGTGATTGTAACTTTAAACGCTGATCCATCTATACTCCCATACTTCAACAAGTTATCATACCCTATAACGCAAAAAGGTTTTCTGAAAAATAGCGAAATCTTAATAAAATATTGAGATATCTTAAAATCTGAAATGTATGTTTTTTTGTGTCAATGCAATTTGTTCATACATTGTACAATATGCACATGCTATGCATAAGACTGTAGACTGTTAGGTTTTTTTCCTCAACCTGGATTATCTTTCTGATTTAATCTTTCAATTCTTTTAAAGTAGAAAATATTTAAAATTAAGAATACTTTAAAAAGTAAAAATAAAAAGCAAAAATCACACTATCCTCAGAAAATAAGGTATCTGGGTATCAATATGTAAACACAAAATAATCATTTGCCCCTTTGTTGGAATGGTAGTGGTATTTGAACGACATGAGATAACACTCTTTGTAACCTCATTGATTTAGTGGTGTGTTTCCAAGAAGTTATTTTGTAATTAAGTCGGAGGATTGACTTCAGAATGTAGAGACATCTTGATGTGACATTTTTTTTTATTAATTTCATTGAACCGTTAGTCCTCCAGTAATTTTTGTTTTAAGAACACAATGACAAACACGCGTCTATTCTGCTATAGCTTAGGATGCGTGACTTCTCAAAAACACTTAATAAGAAAAGAATATGTCATTTTATTTTTGAGTAAGGAACCTGAAACATGGAAGTACAGGTATGCATTAAAGTTATAATTCTGTTCATTGCTTAAACATTGTGAAAATTGTTTTTTTTTACAAACAGAACTGAATCGCTGAAGTATTTAATTATTCTTGGCGGAATACTTCAGTCTATGTGAAATAAAGTTTTTTATATGAAAGCATTGGTATATTGATGAAACTTCAGTGACCCAATAGCTAATAGTGCGCCCTTCAGAGCATCTTTAGTTTAAAGTAAGCGTTTCCCCTTCTATCAATTACGTGAAAAAGAATGATAGAAAGAGTAGACTATGAATGAGTTAAGTATCATTAAGGAATATACATATTCTGTGATTTCTTCTTCTGTTTAAAAAGCCGAAGTATCTTAAATGACTGGAACCTTTCGGTCTCGCTAATCCAGCGTTGACCTGTAAGAACTCAGCTACATCTGCATAATCATGATGCGCCAAAACTAATCATGTCCATGACAAAACATGGTTTGTTGTTTGTTAACAAATAATAAATGAGAAGTGATTGTAACTTTAAACGGTGATCCATCTATACTCTCATACTTCAACAAGTAATCATACCCTATAACCGAAAAAGTTTTTTTCTGAAAAATCGCGTAATCTTAATGAAATATTGAGTGATCTTAAAATCTGAAATGCATGTTTTTGTGTTTCAATGCAATTTGTTCATACATTGTACAATATGCACATGCTATGCATAAGACTGTAGAATGATAGATAAGAATAGACTATGAATGAGTTAAATATCATTAAGGAATGGACATTTTTTTTCTGATTTCTTCGTCTGTTTAAAAAGCCGAAGTATCTTTAATGACTGGAGCCTTTTGGTCTTGCTAATATAGCGTTGACATGTAAGATCTCAGCTACATCTGCATAATCATGATGCGCCAAAACTAATCATGTTCATGACAAAACAGGGTTTGTTGTTTATTAACAAATAATAAATGAGAAGTGATTGTAAATTTAAACGCTGATCCATCTATACTCTCATACTTCAACAAGTTTTCATACGCTATAACGCAAAAAGGTTTTCTAAAAAATCACGAAATCTTAATGAAATATTGAGTGATCTTAAAATATGAAATGCATGTTTTGTGTTTCAATGCAATTTGTTCATACATTGTACAATATGCACTTGTTATGCATAAGACTGTAGACTGTTAAGATTTTTTCCGCAACCTGGATTATCTTTCTGATTTAATCTTTTAATTTTTTTAAAGTAGAAAATATTTAAAATTGAGAACTCTAAAAAAAGTAAAAAAAAAAACAAAAATCACACTATCGTCAGAAAAATAAGGTATCTGGGTATCAATATGTAAACACAAAATAATCATTTGCCCCTTTTTTGAATGGTAGTGGTATTTTAACGACTTAAGATAACTCTCTTTTTAACCTCATTTATTTAGTGGTGTGTTTCCAAGAAGTTATTTTGTAAATTAAATCGGAGGTTTGACTTCAGAATGTAGAGACACCTTGATGTGACATTTTGTTTTTTTAATTGCATTCAACCGTTAGTCCAGTAATATCTGTTTTAAGAACACAATGAGAAACACGCCTCTCTTCTGCCATTGTTTAAGATGCGTGACTTCTCAAAAACACTTAATAAGAAAAGAATATGTCATTTTATTTTGCAGTAAGGAACCTGGAACATCGAAGTACAGGTATGTATTAAAGTTATAATTCTGTTCATTGCTTAAACATTGTGAAGATTGGTTTTTTTTGCAAACAGAACTGATTAGCTGAAGTATTAAATTATTCTTGGCGGAATGCTTCAGTCTATGTGAAACAAAGTTTTTTATATGAAAACATTGGTATATTGATGAAACTTCAGTGACCCAATAGCTAATAGTCCACACTTCAGAGCATCTTTATTTTAATAAAAGCGTTTCCCATTCTATCAATTACGTGAAAAAGTACGATAGATAAGAGTATACTATGAATGAGTTAAGTATCATTAAGGAATGGACATATTTTTTTTATTTCTCCGTTTGTTTAAAAAGCCGAAGTACCTTTAATGACTGGAGCCTTTCGGTCTTGCTAATATAGCGTTGACATGTAAGATCTTAGCTACATCTGCATAATAATGATGCAACAAGACTAATCATGTCCATGACAAAATATGGTTTGTTGTTTGTTAACAAATAATAAACGAGAAGTGATTGTAACTTTTAACGCTGATCCATCTATACTCCCATACTTCAACAAGTTATAATACCCTATAACGCAAAAAGTTTTTCTGAAAAATTGCGAAATCTTAATGAAATAATGAGTGATCTTAAAATGCGAAATGTATCTTTTTGTGTGTCAATGCAATTTGTTCATACATTGTATAACATGCACATGCTATGCATAAGACTGTAGACTGTTAAGCTTTTTCCTCAACCTGGATTATCTTTCTGATTTAATCTTTCAATTCTTTTAACGTAGAAAATATTGAAAATTGAGAATACTTTAAAAAGTAAAAATAAAAAGCAAAAATCACACTATCGTCAGAAAATTAAGGTATGTGGGTAACAATATGTAAATACAAAATAATCATGTGCCACTTTGTTGGAATGGTAGTGGCATTTGAACGACTTGAGATAACACTCTTTGTAACCTCATTGATTTAGTGGTGTGTTTCAAAGAAGTTATTTTGTAAATTAAGTCGGAGGATTGACTTCAGAATGTAGAGACACCTTGATGTGACATTTTTTTTTAATTGCATTCAACCGTTAGTCCAGTAATATCTGTTTTAAGAACACAATGACAAACACGCGTCTGTTCTGCCATAGTTTAAGATGCGTGACTTCTCAAAAACACTTAATAAAAAAAGAATATGTCATTTTTTTTTTTTGCAGTAAGAAACCTGAAACATCGAAGTACAGGTATGTATTAAAGTTATATTTCTGTTCATTGCTTAAACATTGTGAAGATTGTTTTTTTTTTACAAACAGATCTGAATAGCTGAAGTATTAAATTATTCTTGACGGAATACTTCCGTCTATGTGAAATAAAGTTTTTTATATGAAAACATTGTTATATTGATGAAACTTCAGTCACCCAGTAGCTGATAGTGCACACTTCAGAGCATCTTTAGTTTAATGAAAGCGTTTCCCCTTCTATCAATTACGTGAAAAAAGAACGATAGATAAGAGAATACTATGAATGAGTTAAGTATCATTAAGGAATGGACATATTTCTTTATTTCTTCGTCTGTTTAAAAAGCCGAAGTATCTTTAATGACTGGAGCCTTTCGGTCTTGCTAATCCAGCGTTGACATGTAAGATCTCAGCTACATCTGCATAATAATGATGCACCGAAACTAATCACGTCCATGACAAAACATGGTTTGTAGTTTGTTAACAAATAATAAACGAGAAGTGATTGTAACTTTAAACGCTGACCCATCTATACTCTCATACTTCAACAAGTTTTCATACCCTATAACGCAAAAAGGTTTTCTGAAAAATCGCGAAATCTTAATGAAATATTGTCTGATCTTAAAATCTAAAATGTATGTTTTTGTGTGTCAATGCAATTTGTTCATACATTGTACAAAATGCACATGCTATGCATAAGACTGTAGAATGATAGATAAGAGGAGACTATGAATGAGTTAAGTATCATTAAGGAATGGACATATTATCTGATTTCTTCGTCTGTTTTAAAAGCCGCAGTATCTTTAATAACTGGAGCTTTTCGGTTTCGCTAATATAGCGTTGACATGTAAGATCTCAGGTACATCTGCATAATCATGATGCGCCAAAACTAATCATGTCCATGACAAAACATGGTTTGTTGTTTGTTAAAAAATAATAAATGAGAAGTGATTGTTACTTTAAACGCTGATCCATCTATACTCTCATACTTCAAGAAGTACCCATACCCTATAACGCAAAACGTTTTCTGAAAAATCGCGTAATCTTAATGATATATTGAGTGATCTTAAAATCTGAAATGTTTGTTTTGTGTGTCAATGCAATTTGTTCATACAATGTACAATATGCACATGCTATGCATAAGACTGTAGAATGATAGATTAGAGTAGACTATGAATGAGTTAAGTATCCTTAAGGAATGGACATATTTTCTGATTTTTCGTCTGTTTTAAAAACCGAAGTATCTTTAATGACTGGAGCCTTTCGGTCTTGCTAATATAGCGCTGACATGTAAGATCTCAGCTACATCTGCATAATCATGATGCGCCAAAACTATTCATGGCCATGACAAAACATGGTTTGTTGTTTGTTAACAAATACTTAACGAGAAGTGATTGTAACTTTAAACGCTGATCCATCTATATTCTCATACTTCAACAAGTTTTCATACCCTATAACGCAAAAAGGTTCTCTGAAAAATCGCGAAATCTTAATGAAATATTGAGTGATCTTAATATCTGAAATGTATATTTGTGTGTCAATGCATTTTGTTCGTACATTGTACAATATGCACATGGTATGCATAAGAGTGTAGACTGTTAAGTTTTTTCCTCAACCTGGATTATCTTTCTGATTTAATCTTTCAATTCTTTTAACGTAGAAAATATTGAAAATTGAGAATTCTTTAAAAAGTAAAAATAAAAAGCAAAAATCACACTATCGTCAGAAAAATAAGGTATCTGAGTATCGATATTTAAACAAAAAATAATCATTTGCCCCTTTGTTGGAATGGTTTAAAAAGCCGAAGTATCTTTTATGACTGGAGCCTTTCGGTCTCGCTAATATAACGTTGACATGTAAGATCTCAGCTACATCTGCATAATAATGATGCAACGAAACTAATCATGTCCATGACAAAACATGGTTTGTTGTTTGTTAACAAATAATAAATGAAAAGTGATTGTAACTTTAAACGCTGGTCCATCTATACTCTCATACTTCAACAAGTTATAATACCCTATAACGCAAAAAGTGTTTCTGAAAAATTGCGAAATCTTAATGAAATATTGAGTGATCTTAAAATACGAAATGTATCTTTTTTTGTTGTGTCAATGCAATTTGTTCATACATTGTACAATATGCACATGCTATGCATATGACTCTAGACTGTTAAGTTTTTTCCTCAACCTGGATTATCTTTCTGATTTAACCTTTCAATTCTTTTAACGTAGAAAATATTGAAAATTGAGAATACTTTAAAAAGTAAAAATAAAAAGCAAAAATCACATTATCGTCAGAAAAATAAGGTATCTGGGTATCAATATGTAAATACAAAATAATCATTTGCCCATTGTTGAAATGGTAGTGGTACTTGAACGACATGAAATAACACTCTTTGTAACCTCATTGATTTATAGGTGTGTTTCCAAGAAGTTATTTTGTAAATTAAGTCGGAGGATTGACTTCAGAATGTGAAACACCTTGATGTGACATTTTTTTTTTTAATTGCATTGAACCGTTAGTCCAGTAATATCTGTTTTAAGAACACAGTGACAAACACGCGTCTCTTCTGTCATAGTTTAAGATGCGTCACTTCTCAAAAACACTTAATAAAAAAAGAATATGTCATTTTATTTTGCAGTAAGGAACCTGAAACATCGAAGTACAGGTATGTATTAAAATTATAATTCTGTTCATTGCTTAAATATTGTGAAGATTGTTTTTTTTTTACAAACGGAACTGAATAGCTGAAGTATTAAATTATTCTTGGCGGAATACTTCAGTCTATGTGAAATAAAGTTTTTTATATGAAAACATTGTTATATTGATGAAACTTCAGTGAATCAATATCTGATAGTGCACACATCAGAGCATCTTCAGTTTAATGAAAGCGTTTCCCCTTCTATCAATTACGCGAAAAAGAACGATAGATAAGAGTATACTATGAATGAGTTAAGTATCATTAAGGAATGGACATATTTTTTTATTTCTTCGTCTGTTTAAAAAGCCGAAGTATCTTTAATGACTGGAGCCTTTCGGTCTCGCTAATATAGCGTTGAAATGTAAGATCTCAGCTACATCTGCATAATAATGATGCACCGAAACTAATCACGTCCATGACAAAACATGGTTTGTAGTTTGTTAACAAATAATAAACGAGAAGTGATTGTAACTTTAAACGCTGACCCATCTATACTCTCATACTTCAAGTTTTCATACCCTATAACGCAAAAAGGTTTTCTGAAAAATCGCAAAATCTTAATGAAATATTGTCTGATCTTAAAATCTGAAATGTGTGTTTTTCTGTGTCAATGCAATTTGTTCATACATTGTACAAAATGCACATGCTATGCATAAGACTGTAGAATGATAGATAAGAGTAGACTATGAATGAGTTAAGTATCATTAAGGAATGGACATATTTTCTGATTTCTTTGTCTGTTTAAAAAGCCGCAGTATCTTTAATAAATGGCCCCTTTCGGTCTTGCTAATAAAGCGTTGACATGTAAAATCTCAGCTACATCTGCATAATCATGATGCGCCAAAACTAATCATGTCCATGACAAAACAAGGTTTGTTTTTTGTTAACAAATAATAAATGAGAAGTGATTGTAACTTGAAACGCTGACCCATCTATACTCTCATACTTCATCAAGTTATCATACCCTATTACGCAAAAAGGTTTTCTGAAAAATCGCGAAATCTTAATGAAATATTGTCTGAACTTAAAATCTGAAATGTATGTTTTTGTGTGTCAATGCAATTTGTTCATACATTGTACAAAATGCACATGCTATGCATAAGACTATAGACTGTTAAGTTTTTTCCTCAACCTGGATTATCTTTCTGATTTAATCTTTCAATTCTTTTAACGTAGAAAATATTGAAAATTGAGAATACTTTAAAAAGTAAAAATAAAAAGCAAAAATCACACTATCGTCAGAAAAATAAGGTATCTGGGTATCAATATGTAAATATAAAATAATCATTTGCCACTTGGTTGGAATGGTAGTGGTATTTGAAAGACTTCAAATAACACTCTTTGTAACCTCATTGATTTATAGGTGTGTTTCCAAGAAGTTATTTTGTAAATTAAGTCGGAGGATTGACTTCAGAATGTAGAGACACCTTGATGTGACTTTTTTTTTAAATTGCATTGAACCGTTAGTCCAGAAATATCTGTTTTAAGAACACAATGACAAACACGCGTCTCTTCTGCCATAGTTTGAGATGCGTGACTTCTCAAAAACACTTAATAAAAAAAGAATATGTAATTTGATTTTTCAGTAAGGAACCTGAAACATGGAAGAACAGGTATGCATTAAAGTTATAATTCTGTTCCTTGCTTAAACATCGTGAAGATTGTTTTTTTTTTTACAAACAGCACTGAATCGCTGAAGTATTTAATTATTCTTGGCGGAATACTTCAAACTATGTGAAATAAAGTTTTTTATATGAAAGCATTGGTATATTGATGAAACTTCAGTGACCCAATAGCTAATAGTGCGCACTTCAGAGCATCTTTTGTTTAAAGAAAGCGTTTCCCCTTCTATCAATTACGTGAAAAAGAACGATAGATAAGAGTAGACTATGAATGAGTTAAGTATCATTAAGGAATGGACATATTTTTTTTATTTCTTCGTCTGTTTAAAAAGCCGAAGTATCTTTTATGACTGGAGCCTTTCGGTCTCGCTAATATAGCGTTGAGATGTAAGATCTCAGCTACATCTGCATAATAATGATGCGACAAAACTAATCATGTCCATGACAAAACATGGTTTGTTGTTTGTTAACAAATAATAAACGAGAAGTGATTGTAACTTTTAACGCTGATCCATCTATACTCCCATACTTCAACAAGTTATAATACCCTATAACGCAAAAAGTTTTTCTGAAATATTGCGAAATCTTAATGAAATATTGAGTGATCTTAAAATCCGAAATGTATCTGTGTGTGTGTCAATGCAATTTGTTCATACATTGTATAATATGTACATGCTATGCAT